ATCACTGGCATCCAGGTGTTTTATTTCCAAAGATGCAGAGCCTTCTGCAAAGTGTACTGTGTACTTGGCACTTGAAGTGATCTCAGTGTCCTGCTTAAACCAAGAGACGGTCATTGGAAGAGAGCCTGAAATTTTGCAGTCTAGGCGGCATGAGGAATTTATGATGCTGTCAATATTCTTCAGTGGTTTAGTAAAGAAAGGAGGGAGAGTGCGATCTGTTGAGAGTGGAAAAAAAATGGGAGAAACCAACACATGAGTGAAACAGCATGCAGTTCTGCTTCTGGCCATGCTGGACTCAGAGCAGAGCAGGAGGGTCCTTTGCAAGGAGTCAATACCAACCTAGGACAGTGAAGCTGGTAGTACAAGAGCTGATGCCCACATCATTGGATATCTCAAAGGTGTACTCGCCACTGTCCTGCATTTCAGTGGCATAAAACTTGAGCTGGGCAATGTTATTTTTAAAGCTGATCCTATATTTTTTGCTGGCAGGTAGTGGACTTCCATCTTTGAACCATTTGGTTTTTAGTTCTGGAGTGCCTGTGACAGTGTACTCCAAAACAGCTGGTTCCCCGGCTGTTACCTGGATCATTTCTGATTTTTCAATGATTTTGGCAGGTTCTACAACAGAATTAAACAACTAGTGTTAAGGACCAAATGAAATGGCTCTTCTGCTCAGGTTGGAGACAATGTAAGGCTCACAGCACTACTCCACTGACCTTTAACTGCTAGTTCACCAAAGCAGGATTGACTTCCTGCATCATTCTCAGCCACACAAGTGTATTTGCCACCAGAGTTCAACTGGACACCACTAATTTGCAGCGTTGCTAGACCATGTTCAAATGTCACTCTCACTTTGTTATCATCTTGAATAATGTCTTTGCCTTTCATCCACACCACAGAAATGGGCTCTGACCCTTTCACCACAGCCTGTAAGGTAACGCTATCTCCAGCCAGAGCTGTCACATTTTCGATTTTCTTAACAAAAGACGGTGGTTCTGGTTCAAAGAAAAGAGATAAGAAGAAATGCATATTGGCTACACATCGTCCCATGAAATCTGATTCTTAAAGACAGTTTTATGAGAGAGTATGTGCAGTACATGGCGTAATTCAGCTAAAGAGCAGGCAAGAAGAACTGCATTCCCCAGTTCGGAGCTAATCCATGGCCCTTTAAACTCAATATCCCCCAAATTCACAGGTTTGACGACAGAGAAGAGTTAAGACAGACATAGAATTTTAAGAGAAGATACCCTCCCTCCCCTCCCTCCCTAGCCACCCACAAACCCAAAGAAGAGACATTTTAAGAAATGAGTTCTTGCCAATCCTGTCAGTAAGTGGAGTTTTCTCTCTCCCACTGACCTTTCAAGACGTATGTTGCACTGCATATGCACTTCCCAACTTCATTAGCTATCACACACTCGTATTCACCAACATCTGCACTATTAAATGAAGACACCTCCAAAGAAATAATCGCTTTCTGAGAGGTCAATCTGTATTTTTTACTACTGCGAATCTGTTTCTTGTCTTTGTACCAGCTAATCTCAAATGGTCCAGTGCCAGCAACCTCACACTGAAGAATGGTGTTTGTTCCCTTCACTACTTCTGCTGGCTCAAGTGTTCGGATGAAAGATGGAGGCTCTATAAAAGCAGCAAGAAAGAATTAGTCAATCATGCCAAAAAAAAAAAAGGAAGGGAAGGGAAGTTTTTTCCCAAGAATGTGACTGGCAGCATCAAGAACAGACCTTTGACAACTACTTCAGTGGTGCAGCCATCACTTCCAACCTCATTTACAGCTTCACATGAGTAGCTCCCACTGTCATCAACTTTCACCTCCAAAATATCTAATACAGCCACAGAATTGACAAAGGACATCCTGTGGGTATTGCTTTCACGGATTTCCTTATTGTTCTTGAACCAAGTAACCTGGATTTCAGGAGAACCTTTGATTTTGCATTGAAGACGTGCAGAGTCGCCTGGGGTCAGTAAATAAGATGGGTCGACCTTCTTCACAAAGGATGGTGGTTCTAAAACGGGAAGGAAAGGGAAGAAAGGGGGAAAGTGGAAATAGAAAAAAGAAAAGAGAAAAAGGAAAGAACGCTGAAATATAAAGCTTTCAAAGATTGTTTCCAAGTGCAAGAACAAAATATGACTTCAGAAAAGGTCAGCATAATCTTTGCAGAGCCACAATTCTAGTTGTTTCTCTTGTGCCCTTTGTCCATTTCTCTGCATGCAGAAATTCTTGGATCTGGCTGGTGAAAAAAATATGGAAGCAACACATTGTGCATGGGAAGGCAGCAGATGAAACAAACAAGATGTGAATGGACCTGTTGGCAGGTCTAAGAAGAATTCACAGTGTGATTTCAGCCCAAAGAAGTCTTTTTGCCTGCAAAAGAAGAAACAAGGAAGCCAAGAAGAGCAAAAGTAAAGAGGGTGTAGGACTATCTTACCTCTGACTGTGACGCTGGCAGAAGAGGAGCTGCTGCCTGCTTCATTTGAGGCAGTGCACACATAATGACCTGAATCCTTCAGCTTAGCCAGAGGAATCTCAAGGGAGGCTATTTTGTCTTCAAAGTAAATCTTATAATCTTTGCCTGGTGGGATTTTGTTTCCATCCTTTGACCACCCTACTGTTACTTTCCTGTCTTCATCTACCTGGCATTCAAGACGTATTTTTTTATTGACTGCTGACTGTACTGACTGCAAAACTTTAATGAAGTGGGGCTTGTCTATAATGATCATTTCAGCCTGGCAAATGTCAGCCCCAAACTTGTTGGAAGCTTTGCAAGTGTAAATCCCTCTATCACTGGTGGTGAGAAGGGAAATTTCTAACACATGTTTATTTTCCACTTTGGAGATCTTGTGGTGGTCCGAAGGTGAAATGGTTGTGCCATCTTTCTGCCAGGTGACATCGATGACTGGAGTGCCCGAAACAGTACACAGGAACTTTGCACTTTTGCCCACAAAAGTAGTGATAGATTCAGGTCTGGTAAGAAACATTGGTGGAAATGCTTCTGCAAAACAAAGTGGTTCAATGTTATTGAGAGGTGAGGATCAGAGCTCATTCTCTTTGCCAGGAATAGAAAGCAAGAGGGGCCAGTTTGTCACTGGACCCTCTTAAGCAAAAGAAGTCAGTGGTGAAAGAGACAAGAGATGTTAAAGATTATTGAAACTTGGCTTTTAGTTTTGTACTTCTCAGGTCTGTATATTGCTCCAGAGATTGAAGGCATTTTGAATCTTCAGAGCAATGTACAAACTAAAGGAAAACAAACCAAAATCCAGAACTCCTTCCCCCAAGACTGACACTTTTGAGCACTATTCCCTCAAGATGAATGAGTTTGCATGCATTTCACAGTTTGTACATATTCCTTTAGTCTCTAGCACTTGGCACGTAGTAAAGGTTACATTAAGACCCCTCCCACAAAGAGAAAAGTCAGATTAAAAAAATCATCATACACTAAAAGCCTAAAATATGGTGTGGATTTTTTTTTAAGAAACAGGACAAAAAAAAATAATTGCATAGCTCTCAGTAAACAAAAAAGTTTGTGAATGAAAACAGCTTTAAACCTTCTTTTGTCTGTTTGAGAAGATTTATATCCCCAGTCACACAGAGTTCCCCTCTGGCCACGACACGCAGATATTCAAGCATACACAGCTGCATAGCCTGCTTTGCAAGTATGGCGGCAGAATAAACATATGGTGTGTTAGGATTATCACGTAGTGATTATTACACCAAAGAAATTAGATTTAAAAGTGTATGTTTTCCTGTTGTCTGGAATTGAAATAAACCTTCTTCAAGAATGTATTCACAAAGCAATCCATTTTGTTGGCGATCTAGTTCCTACTGTTCTCTCCCCCTTCTTTCTTCCCTTCTGAAACTTTTCTCACTGATTCCCTTTTCTAGGTACAGAAAACACCTAAAAGCAATGTTCTCAAAAAATATTAATTCTCTATGCTCATGCTTACCAAAATTAGATATGGATTGTGTATAATAATGGCATTCAAGAGCCCTATCATAAACATTTCTGAGTACAGCAGTGAAAGCATTACATTATACCAAGATATTTTATGGAGAAGGAGAAGCACTTGGAAGCCTGTACTTACCAGTTACTGTTAAATGTGCTGTAGAGCTTACACTGCCATGCTGGTTGGAAGCCTTACAGCTATACTCTCCACAGTCAACAACCTGAGGCCTCAGGATCTCTAGTGTTGACAGGTAGTTGGAGGTGCGAATGGAATATTTGTCCCCATCATATATCTCTCGGCCAGCTTTGTACCACTGGAACTTGACATTGGGAGCAGTCTCTACCTCACAGGTAAACTTGGCCACGTGATTTACAGCCACCTCCAGAGATTCGAGCCTTCTTCTCAGAATCGGTGCAACTGAAATCAAAAGCAGAGAATAACTCAAAACTCTGCCTGCTGACATTCTGGAAAGTAACACTGAAGTAAAAAAAAAAACAGAAAAAATAAAAATGTGGTTTACTTGCAATCCACATAAAGTAACTGTAAAATAAAAGAATATCTGTAAGAAATGAAAGCAATACCAGGCTCAGTGGACAGACAGTGTTATGGTGCATAATGACATCAGGAAACACAGTGGTGATACTGGAAAAACAATGTGCAATAACAATGCAATACAAACATATACCACACTATCCCAGAGCTGTGAGAAATTATGGTGTGAATGACAAATTTTACTGAAACTGTGCAACAACTCTAAAGAGTGAAAGAAAGTGCAGTAGTGAGAAAAGTGGGAAGAACAAGTCCACTTCACAGGCAACAGTGGGAGAAGTGGTTGGGATTGAGTTATAGCTTGTCCTGACTATGTTTGTGTGGTGAGAACTGATGCAACAAAGTTCCTGACCAAAGTTCTGGATAAGGGAAGTGAGAGACTTTGTAATGTGGTGAAAGGAGACCATAAATCCAGAGAGAAAGGGCACCCTCTGATTAGTGATATCATATTAATATTGTGTCTCTATCTGAAGACACAGACACATAGTTCATTAACAGAGCAGTGTATTAGAAAGGCAGGATTTTATCTTCATAATCCAACCTCTTTTAACAACTGTGAGTTTTGCTGCAGTTGCTCTTTTTCCATCTTGATTCAGTGCCTCACAGGTGTACTCTCCTTCGTGAATCTCCCCACACACTTTGCTTATTACTAGTGTGTATGTGTCTTGATCTTGAAAACACTTGAATTTGTCACCTGAAGACACCAGTTTACCCTCAAAATACCAGTTCACCTCTCTGACATTTGTTATGATAGACACCAGACTGACACTCTCCCCTTCCTCCACAACAGTGTCAACCAGTTTGCTCTGTATGATGGGATAGCCCTCTTTGTCCTGCTCATCCTCTAGCTTTCCAGCTCTAGTTTCCAGACCCTCTCTACCTCCTTCCTCGCATATTTCTTCCCTTTTCTCCTTCCTTTTCAGTATTCCTGTGGGTGCCTCAATGGGAACGCTTGCAGAGGCTACATCAGCAGTGGCTGCAGCTGCACCCACATCCTTGATTTGACCATGCCCAGTCACAGTGTTGATCATTTGTGCACACAAAGGCTTCTCCAAGGGTATTTCTGCCTCTGTAGTCCTTTCAGCCCTCTGGAGCTCCAGTTCACTGGTTTCATCACAGGATTTTCCTGAGAGAAGTGAACTGGGATGCACTGGCAACGCTTCAGATTTTTCATCTGTCAAGAGATGTTTTTCTTCACAAACAAGGGAATAGAAAGCCTCCTTCAAGACCATTTTTGGGTTAGCTGTCTGAATGCTGACTTCTCCCAAAAAAATTGGGATTTCTACAGGACTGAGTCCTCTTGTGGTCACCACATAGGTGCATATGGTGTGTTTGTGTTCCTTGGTGATGTTTATTGTCTGTACTTCAACATCTTCTTTATCAGCCAACCATTCTGAAAACAAAATGTTTTGCTCACTTACTACTGCAGCTTTCAGTGCATTCCTAATTTGAGACTCTATGTCCAAGTTGGATATCTTGGGAATCTGAGCAGGGACCTGGATTTCTTTGTTGAGGACTTGGCTTGGCTGGAGCTGGTGAGTGTGCATTGTTTCATGTGGTTGTCTTCCCACCCTTGGATGCTGCCTAGGTGAGCTGGCAAGGTCAACAACATGTTCCTTCTCCAGGGGCTGGTTTTCTTCTAGCAGCAGGGGAAACCTCACAGATCGGCCCTCATGGATTCTTGCAGCAAAATCTTCCTCTGCTCCTTCCAAGGATGAAGTGTTCTCCAGAGGGACAGCTTGGCCCTCAGTAAAGGCAAATTCAGAGGGAAATCTGACTTCAGCCTTCAGCTCACCTTGCATTGCCCGGAAGCCCTCAAGGACCTGGCTGTGGCCATCATCTATGGCACAACTCTCAGTGGTGCTTGACACCTGTAGTAGGGCTTGGGAAGCCTCTGTTTTCAGAGCAGCCGTTTCCTCTGCTGCCTTGGGGAGGACTTGCTCTTTGGGCAAGAGTATCTGTGCAGCTACAGTCCCAAGGCAGCCCGGCAGTCGCGTTTCCATCGCTGCAGCAGGCACCTCACCCTGGGAGCCAGCAGGGAGGGTTTGCAGTGGCTCTGCCAAAAGCCCACTGCTTTCTTGTGTTGTGGCCACCTGGGTAAGCATTGCCTCAACACTCTGTGCAGCCAGGCAGGTTGGTGGCAGTCCAGGTAAGATGTCCTCCCTGGGCAGCACGTGCTCCGTCTGGCTTGTCTGGAGCTGAAGGAGGGCCAGGGGCTCTCTCACAGCCTCAAGGCTGATGGCTTCTTCCATGGAACAGAGATCACCAGCCTCCTCGTAGGAGTACTCTGCCACCGCTGAGTACTGCAATGTTGGGCTCTGCCTGCACACAGCATGTTCCTCGGGCAGCACAAGAAGCTCAGCAGAGCATGTGGCCTCGCCCAGTGTGCTCATTGCCCTGCATGTGTAGAGCCCAGTGTCCTCCTCCATGCATTCCCACACTGTCAGGGAGCCCGAGCCATCAGAATGGTGAGCAACAGCATGACGCGCATCAGAGAAGACCTGCTCACTCCCCTTGAACCACTGCACATCAGGGCATGGCTCCCCAGCCACGGTGTACTCAAAGACCGCAGTAAAACCTGGTGCACACCTCACATTGTCTGGTTCCCTGGCAAACCAAGGGACACCCGGTACCTGCTGCCGCACGTGGAGGTGGGCGCTGCACGTAGTCTCGCCATGCTCATTGATGGCCGTGCATGTGTACTCACCCTCATCCTGCACACTGGCATAGGGGAGGATGAGGCTGTAGTCATTGCCAGCAAACACTAACTTACAGTCTGTGGATGGCGTTAGCTTCATACTGTTGAAAAACCACTGGATTTTGGGAGTGGGGCTGCCAGTGACAGTAACAGAGAACCTAGCTACATCTCCCTGCCAGACTTCGACATTTGAGGCCTGTTTGAGGAAAACAGGGGCTTTGCCCCCCTCCTCCATTTTCGTCCTTTCTTTGATGGAATAAACTGGTTTTCCAGGCTCAAATTCAAGTGTTTTCTCTCTATCAGGCAACTGAAGGCCGCTGCTGTATCCTGTGCTTCTTCCTTCCTCAGAAGACACAGTAAGAGAGCTAACAACATCTGTATGGAAAAAAAATTGTTTAGTTTTACTAGAACATCTAAAAGAACACATAAACAGCAATAAACAATGTTAGTGCAACTATATTCCTATATCTGGAAGACTTTTCAATACTGTACAGCAGTTAATGAACATGAGGTCATCCTGCAGTTAAAGACACGCTTTCCCAAACCAGTCAGACATGCTGTGCTGTCAGGTTACTTAAGAACTTCCCATTTGGATTAACATGGGTGTCTTTTTAAACCTGACATCACAGCATGGGTTAGGCATACCCCTAGGGCATACCATGCAAGTAACAGTTAAGAAACCTTGGTGCTTTTCACAATTATAATTGAAGTGGTATGTCATGTATAGTTGTATGTACACTCATACAAACAAGTACAGGAGAACAGTGCTAAGACCCTGGCTTAATTCAAAACACTAAGAAAAAGCAGAACTCCAGACATAGGATTGAAAAAAGTAAAATGAACTTTTCAGCACATCAACCTTCTTTTGGTGCAGTTAGTTAATCTCTTTCAACCCTTATCTTTTGTTGAACACAATAAAATATTACCTTTCCCTTACCAGCTCTGTCCTGTTTCTGTCGTTAGACTCTTAGGCTTACAACAACATTATTACTAAAATCATAAGTTTGCACACTTGATTTAATGTCATTGCTTTAAGTCCCTGATATTATGCTCTTCCCTGTCACAGTGTTGCAGATTAAAACTCCCACAACACCAGGAAAAAGAAGACAGAGCACTTTAAGATTTTTCTTCTTCTTGGCTTTGTGAATTTAGATATTTATATGCTGGACTATTTTTTTTTTCCAAAAGTGAAAGGAATCAGACATCAAGAACACGTTCTCTGCAGATGCTTGACACTAGAAACACCAGTGAAATCTGAGACTTCCAGGAACAGAAGAAGTCATGCACAGAATGCACAGTACAAAGAAAACCTTTGGAAATCAAATCCCGTTGTCCTCACTGAGTCAAGTTTGCTCAGTTATGGCCTACAGTATCTGACTCCGAAAAGATAGGAGAATTGTTAATAAAGAACAAGAAAGGTGAGTGGATAAATATCTCCGGGCACTCTAATGATGAACCCTGAGAATTTTCTTAGTTACAGTGCCTTAAGTTCCAAAACTTATTGTGAGATAATTTTTGCTACACTCCAGCAACAACTATAATGAATAGAGTATGCCATACCCAATTCATTCTCATTGGTTTTAGCAATTATTAGTCTTGCCACAAATATCATAATATACGTGACATAGCATGGTGCATACAGTGATTAACTACAGAGAAGAGATGCTTAAGTAAAACAGAACTACACCAGTCCCTCAGTATTACTTATCAACCTTAAAACAGTAGTGCAGCTTCCTCGGAAACACAATGTGCTAAGGACATTGAGAATGGGCGGCAGAATTGCGTTTGTAATAAAGTACAAGGTTTGCATAATGGAAAATTTGCTAAACTACATGAGAATGTTCTATATACAGGAGTGTGGCAAAAATTAACACACTTACTTGTGTTCCTGGATACTTATGACAGAAAAAAGAGACAGATACTTTTTCATATTTTAGCTATGTCTCTGAAATTAATAAAGGACCAGAAGCAGCAGACTTAAATCATTTACATGTTTATTTCACAAATTAACCATACATATTAACATTTAATACACACTGATGACAAACAAACATAATTCATCCTTTTTTTAAGTTACTTCATTTCTGGAAATGAACAAAGCATTAAACATGACAATGAAATTGTGATTTTTGTAATTCTTATGAACGCACATAATTTTGAAAAGAGATGGTCAATCATGGCTCTAAGGTACACCAGTGGCCCCAGAGTAAGCTTATTCAAAACTAGAATTACTCCAGATTTCTACAATGGCAGCTTAGGTGAGATTTTGTCTTTCCATAAGCACATGATAGTGCTCCTGGCTGATGTATCAAACTAAAATCAAGACTTTTAAACATACATAAACCACAAACATTACTATGCAAGTAAAGATGCTTGGCGATATATTTTAGATGTGAACATGAACTTGGACCTGTTTGGCTTATGGCTTCAAAAACCAGTTGTGGGCCTGTTTCTAGTAAAAATTTCAATCCATTTATGTGTAAATTAAACACATGTAGTAATTGCTCAGGACCTAATCAAAGGGTCTCTGACCTGTCTGGCTTTGGACCTAAAATCCCATCTTCTTGAGGGACCTCTGCTGTCTAATGAGTCGGTTTGTGCTACACATCTACACAAGGAATAGATTAAGGACACATCATGAAGCAATTCTTTCCCAGCACAATGTTGAGTCAGACACTCATGCTTCTCTTTCCTAACACCATTACTTATCAGAAATCACAATTATCTCTGCCTCTTCACGATATAAAATCTTAAATATTTATCACGTTGTCATGACTAGGAAGAAACTGAAGTGACACATAGGTATTAACATAACTACTCCAGTCATTTTCTCCATATCCTTGGTCATTAGAACTTGCCATTCCTAACTTTAAGGAACAAAACTGGGCAAAGTGAATCTTTAGATCAAAAATTACTTTCCCAGGTGAATGACGGGATAGTGTTAGAAGATTATTGAGTTCTTAAGGCATGCCAACCTCAGTATGAGGGCACACCAGAAATCAGAAATAAGAACATGCGTGAACATAACTGAATGTACTACTATAGGAGTAGTTCCTTTATGCTTTAAATCTCCATATTCCTTAAGGTAGTTTGCAGAGCAACTTACAGCAATTTGTAAATAACTGATAGAACCTCATGAACAGGGAATCAAAGTAAAACCAATTTTCACTTAAGGTTGTTGAACTCAAGGTTTCACCTTGGCATATAGGTAAAGGAAAGCTGCATTAGAGAGTTATTTAAATTTTGATGAATATTAATTAATAACTTTCCTACTTTTAACATACTTACTTATCATTGTTATGTAAGATAGATTTAGTTCTGATTCATGTCACCCACTGTTGATTCATCCTCCTAAATACTAATATTGCTTTAAATACAAAAATATATGCTCACATTGATGATATTAATGTAAAAATCACTTCTGCTGAGAAAATGCCACAGATAAAAATTAAACCTATTGTAATTATGTCTGGCCATCTTGACACATAGCATGCTTAACTTACTAATTAAAAAAAAAAGGAATATGTAGAGATTTTCTAATAGTAAACAAGAATATGGCATAAAACCTCTCACTTTTTTACTACTATGTATTTTTTATGAATGACATCAAAATATGGGGACAATCAAAATTATTTTAATGAATTTACAGTTACATCATTGATTTATTGTGCTCCCTCTCCTTTCCCTTAACTTTCTAAAGATACAGTACAAAATACGTTTTCATGTTTATTACTTGGTAATAGAGAAAAAATCCCATCTAGTCTCTATTAATGCAAAACTTTAATTTTCTTCCCATTGTGTTGCTTTCTTTGCAACAGTGTAATTCCATTGACTTAAAAAAAAGTCATTTAATTCCATGAGTCAGTATAATGAGGCCCACAGACATGAGAATTTTGCAATGATAGAAACTGTAAACACAGGATTTGAATCAGCAAGACTCACATGTTCTGATACAGCATTGTGAGAAGGGTGATTGCCAATTTTAAAAGTTCTTTCACAGAACTGTATCCGAACTAAACAGCGTGAGTTAGTATTCCATACCTTTAGGCTACAAGAAAAAGGTGGTTTCTACATTTTCAGGTGATTTCTAGCCTACATAAAACAATAATGATTTCACCATTACAGAAACACATGAATATGTACATTACATGACAAAAATAGTCCTATCTAAATGAGCATGAATTAAAATATCTTTACAAGAATGAGTAAGGAGTTTGGAAGGAGCCTGAAATATACCTCGGTGCAAAAGTGTGCACAACACCTATGCACAGATGAAATCTCACTTAAATTCCCCAACAAAAGCAAGTTCAAGTGAGACAAATATGCCCACATAAAGTGGTTTTCATCTCTAAAGAGATGAAAAACAATGCCCCTAAATTGAGTGCTGCATTTTCACCTGCAATGAATAACAGCACAAAAACACTTAGTGTTTCAAACAAGACTCCGAAATAAAATAACGGAAATTTAGTATAATGTTAACACAGCACAAGTCTCAGCAGCTCCTGCCCTGTTAGTAGCTCTGCATTTGTACCGCCCACTGTCGCTTTGCATCAGGTTTTCAATAGTGAGGCTATGAGAGCCCCCTTGCTCTTCCTGAGCACAATACCTGTCCCCTTCCAACAACACTCCATCCTTGTACCAGTGGACACTTGGTGGGGGCAAACCAGTCACAACACACTGGAAGCACGCTGAGGCACCTACAAATGTACTGTAGTCAGAAATGTGCCTTAGGAATTTAGGAGGGGCTTCTATGACCTGGAACTCAAAGCTGCAGCTCTCCGAGTCCTCTGCCCTAAACTCAACCTGTTCCTCTTGGGACGGCTCCGCAAACACATCAAAACTAACATTGACACACTTCTCCCCTTCCACTTCCCGCCCTTGTTGAGTCGCCGCAAGCAGTCGGATTGCTTTCTTTGAGTTGCCTACGTGTGGCTCGAACTCAAACTCCAGCTCTATTTCTGATTGGTCACCTGGTTTCATAGTCTTACTCAAAAGCAAGTCACACTTCTGGAGCCTGTGTGGTTCGCTGCCCATCACTGTCTCACTGCTCGCCTTGGCACTTGCTCCCTGCGGAGCCACAACTACGAGGGAGCCTTTACACGTTGCTTCTCCCAGCCTATTCATAGCCCGACAGTGATACAAGCCGCCATCAGAAGGACCTGCATTTTGAACCTTCAGACTATGAAGTCCCTCCTTCTGACTCACAGCATACTTCCCTGTGGCAGGTGTCACACAGGTGTTGCCTCTGAACCACTGCACTACAGGGACAGGAGTACCTGTTACCACACACTCAAACACTGCCTCCAAGCCTTCTGTCACTTGGACATCTGTAAAAGGCACAGCAAAGCGGGGAGGCATTTCAGTTACCTGGAAATCAATTTTTACATCCTCATTCTCCTCTGCAGCCAAGCCTGCAGCTTGCTCCAACAAGGCAAGTGGAAGAACATCCAGGGAAACCACCATGCTCTTCTTATCTGGGCTAAACTCAGGACTAGTTAAGATTTTGACCTGCTTCTCAAACTCCTTGACCTCATTTTCATCCAGCTCTACTTCCAGGAGGATTTCCTGTGGTGAAGGTGACCTTGAAGATGTATTTTGCTCCAGGTCAAAGTGTATAACATGCTGATGGGTGACAGGTGGTGGGAGTGCTAGTGACCGCCCATCTTCAGACAAAACTTCCACCTGTGCAATACTTTTAGCTTCCCCGACAATGTTCACTGCATGGCACAGATACTGTCCTTCATCAGATTTCTGGACATTAGTGATCTCCAGCACATATTTGTTCCCATCCTGCTCTATCCGCACTCTCTCATCTGGCTCCAAGAGAGATTTATTATGATACCACTTCACTCCTGGCTTGGGCACACCCACCACCTCAGCCACAAAGCTCACTGTGTTACCCTCATACAGCCTCCTCCTACTCAATGCCTTGAGGAATGCAGGTGGCATATCCCTGCCTGATGGCTCCAGGGCTTCACAGGGGGTCCTAAACTCCTCAGCCTGTGGATGGCCTGGAGGTTGCTGCCTTCTCTCACAGAGGGGGAGCATGGTCAGGGCATCCATATACTCCCCAGTGGGTGTTCGGTAGCGCTCTGGTGGTGTGCTGTCTCCTGACACAGAGCAGGGTCCCTCGAAGGGTGTGAAATAGTGGTCCAAGGGTGTGTTGCATTTTGAACCCTCAGAGGGGGTGGAGTAGTGCTCAGGTGGTGTGCTGTATCCTGAACCTTCAGAGGGTGTGGAGTAACGCTCGGGCAGTGTGCTATATCCTGAGCCTTCAGACGGTGTGGAGAAACGCTCGGGTGGTGTGTTGTAGCCTGAGCCCTCAGATGGTGTGGAGTAGCGCTCAGGTGTGCTGAGCGGTGTGTGGTAGGATGCTGATGAAGCAGTTTCAAAGATCTCCACTGAGGAGGGAGGTGTGTAGAAGCGGTCCGAATCAGGTGACTCCTCTCCACTCCTGCTCTCCAGTTCTATAGACATTTCTGACTCAGGAGAGAAGGGCCGGGCAAAATGTAATAGTCATAAACCATGCTGAAGGTGACCTCCTCCACTTCCAGTGAAGTAATGGTCTCTCGCTCCTTCTGCACTTTTCCTTTGAGATTCAGAGTTTTCTGTGGCCCAACTGACTGTAAATACTTGGTCAGAGACAAGTCAGTCTCCAACTCTGAGACTTGAACAGCACTGGGGTTTGGATCTTCAGAAACATCCTCCCACAATCCTTCTCCATCCAGGCTATCCTCAGAGGCTTCCTCAGTGGGAGACCTCTTCTTGTCCCAAGACTCTTTCCTTTGCTCCTTCTGTTCCACAGGATCATCCATTACTAAACCAAGTAAGAGTTGTCCAAAAGAGAAGCCCTTGGTTGTGTTTGGTTCCTGTTGGGTGTCCCCAGGCATCTCCTCAGGGCAATCTGTTCTTTCTATCTCACAGGTGGAGCTGCTCACTTCTGTCTCAAAGATCTTTTCTATCCCAGAACCTTCTTCCTCCTTGGCCTGATGCCCAGTCTGGGGTTTCTTTTCACTTGCAGCTTTTTTCAAGTCAATGATAAAGCTGTCACTCTGCGAGTCTGTGGTCTCCAGTTGTTCCCCACTCTCCCATACATATGTTTCCTGCACTCCTCTTTGGAAATCTGCTTTGGACTCCACCAAAAAACTGTGAAATTGTCCCTCAAGTGAAATCTCCTCACATGCACTCACCTCTGACTCATGAATTTCTTCAACAGGACATCCCTCTTCAGCAGATACTATGGTGCCTCTGAGGTCCCCATTAGGGACTTGCAAATCAGCCCTTCTGATTTCTCTTGGTTGTGCCTCTTCCTGTACACTAACCTCTTCCTGCCGTGTCCTGTAGCTCTGGCGCAGCTCCTCACTCAGAGACAACTCTTCCACAAGCACATCATGTTGGTGCAAAGGGGAGATGAGCCCAGCCACTCCTACCTCCACACTCTCCAGAGTGCCCAGGGTTTGTGCCTGTTTTGTCTCCACAGTCTCTGCAGCTGGGAGCGGCTCTACAAACTTCTTCAGATCAAATGTGATATTGGTCTCCTCTGTCTCAGATGGCAACAGCTGTTCTTTGAAATGTACTTCTTCTAGGTGAACCTCAACTTCCTCAGTAAAATCCTGGCCTGAGTTTTCTATGAAAGGAGGAGTGAGGATTAGATTCAAAGAATTGTCTGCATTAGACTCAATTTCTGGCAGCATTTGTCCATCAGACTCAATTTCTTGCAGCATTCGTCCATCATTGTGCATTTCCCAGTGTGCAGCATCCCCAGCATTGATCATTTCTTCTTTACAAAGATGATCATCAACCTCGATGTCCTGTTTAATATCAACAGATCTCTCTTGCTCCTTGGCCTGTTCCTCCTGCTGCACTTCTGCACAGAAGTCATAGAAGCCAAACTGCTCCTTTGTGGGTGTGCTTGCAGTGTTGTCCTGTGAGTGGGGCACACTTGGCTCTTCTGTAAAAGGCGCATCAGGAGATGCTGCCTCCCAGGCAGGAGCATTGCTCTCCTCCATATAAACATCACTCCCTTCTTGCACTTCAGGTAATATAGGAATGAAAAACTGTGAATCCTCACACTCCCTTGAGAGAGAACATTGCTCAGAGGTATGTGCTTGCCTTTTCACTTCCATAAATGGTGACTTCAAGATATCCCAGGACAGAGCATCTGTACGTGGTACCATTTTGTCTCCTTCAGCCTCCAGCTCCTCAGAAAAGTGACCCGAGTCCTTGGCCACCAGTTCGTGCTCTTCTCTGGAAATGCTGGGGTGCAGCTCAGTGGCACCAATGCCAAAGCTGAGTTCCTCAGAGACAGCTTTTCCACTGTGCTGTCTCATCTCAGAAATACCACCTGTATCCCTCACACTTTCTTCTGTATAACTCATTTCCTGCCTTGTACAAACTTCCATGATATCCAGCACCATCATTTCCTCCATCTCACTTTCTTTGAAGTGAGAAGTTTTCTCACATTCTTCTTCCAACTGCACAGCAGGAGATGGAGACAGCGTCATAGTCCAGGGTAGGTGGGATTTCTCCTCCTTGGAGCATGTGATCTGTTCTTCTTCATCCTTCCCAATCATGCTGAGGTCTTGGAGGTGCAGGACATGGTCAACAGCAGGCAGTTCCTCAGTGTCTCCACCCTTGCTATACAACCTGGGTGCACTGGGCTGCACTGTCAGCTCAGAGGCAGTCTGTGCTGTTCCAGCCTCATTCTTGGCCACACAACAGTATAGCCCGGCATCCGCAACAGAGACCCCTTGGATGTGTAAGCGGTATGTGCCATTCTCGCCTTCCTCAAACTTCAGCTTTTCGCTGGCAGAGAGACTCTGGTCATTCAGGGACCAGACCACAGCTGGTGGGGGCTGCCCAGACACAGCACATTCCAATACCACTGCCTCCCCTTCACGGCAATGAACGTGTGCTGGGGCTTCTGCCATAATTTTGGGTGCCTTGTTTCCCACATCAAATGAAAACTTGAACTTGTGCTTTATGGTGGGAGCAGTCTGGTCTGGAGAGGCCTGTGTGGTCTCCTTCATCTCTGTGTCTTGCTCCGGTGTTGGAGTGGGGGCAGTGATTTTGATTTCCACAGGCAGTGACAGCAAATCTGAGTCTGGAACTGCACTTGGCAGTTCCTGCTCTGCTGCGAAGGCCAGGCCAACTTCTTCTTCCTCCTCCACCTTCTCCTCCTCTTTCTCTTTCTCCCTTTCTTCCTTCTTTGCTTTCTCCTCCTCTTCTGCCTTCTCTGCTTTTTTCCTTTCCTCTTCCTCCTCCTTCTTCATGTCTTCATAGGCTGGCATCCGCTGCCTCACATGGAGTGCAGCCGAGGTGCTGACTGTGCCTAGTGGGTTAAAGATCACACAGGTGATGGTGCCACTGTGCTGTGGGAGCAGGGATGGGAAGGTCAATGTAGAGCAGCACTCTGTGGTGTGAATGGCGGTGCCTTGGATGCGCCCCACAGGCTTGCCGTTGTTGTACCAACTGACTGTGGGTTGCGGGCGGCCATGGAAGAGGCAGGAGAAGGTGCATCTGTGCCCCTCAACAGCATCCTGGGACTTGATCTCCTGGACAAAGAGGGGTGGGCAGGCCTCCAGGAGCCCACCTGGCATCTGCCATTTCTCCCCTGCAGCCTTGGGCCTGTAGTGCCTCTTCACTACCTGCACCATGAGGGGCTTTGAGCCACCCATGGTTGTAGCCACCACAGGCGGGTTGGGCTTCCCAGGAGAGCACACCTGAGGCACAGCCATAAGGGAAAAAAAACTGCTTCTTCTTCAGCACTGCCCTCTTTGCCTCCCGCAGCCGCTGCAGCTTCCAACGGATCTCCTCCTCCAGCAGTTCCTCAGCATCCACCACCATGCCACCATACTCCCTCCTGCATGCCAATCCGGGGCGGTGAGCCCCCATCCGTGGCAGCCTCTGGAAACGGATGGTTCGTACCATGCCCCTGGTTGGGGAGAGGTTGCCAGGTGACTTCTCAGCCTCCTGCCTCTTGTCAAAGGGTGAACCAGTGCAGTGGAGCACTACCCGCAGCCGGTCCTCCTGCCGCTGCTGCAGCAGGCACTCCCACCTCTCTCGCATCCACTTCACTTTCCCTGAGAAACCCAAGACCTGCTGCTCCCTACGACGGGCCACCAGCAGCGAGGCGGTGGACTCAGCTGAGCCCTCGCTGTTAATGGCAAATACTCTGTAGCTGCCAGCATCCTGCTCATGCACATCCCACATCTCAAGGCTGGCGTGGTGCATGAGCTCCTCACTCTCCGTCCGGATCACTTTGCGGCAATCCTGGCGGACCGGACGGTTGTTGTGAAACCAGGACATGTGGGGTGGTGGGCATGCCACCAGCTCACACTGGAAGAGTGCAGGGTCCCCCTCCAAGACAGACCTACACTTGAGGCCCTGCGTGAAGGTGGGTTTACAGTTCTGGGGGCAAGCCAGCCCCACCGCTGTCCCAAGTCCCTCGAGGTTCACCTTGCCGCGCTGCTCTGCAAGAGAAGGAAACTGGGTTACAACATGTCACTTTCTGCCTGCCATCTGATTGAAAAAAATGAAATAGCAATATATTGAAATAAAAAATGGGCATGCAACAGATTTCATCGCACACCCAGAAAAAAAAAAGTAATTCACTCACCATATTTGTTCGAATAAACGCAACGCCTTGCTCTGTTTTAAAGATTGACACGAAAATCGTTCGTTGTCTGTTCTTTCTTCAGACTGTGGAAATTTCTTCTTGAACAAGCAAAAATGAATTTCAAAATAACACGTTCTTCTGCGTGTATGTTTTTGCTCCCTGGGAAAGCTGTGTGTCTTTGGGTGGTAAAGAAGAAAATCTTACCTGACTTGCAGACAGTAGAATAAACGCCCTTTCTGAACCCTCTGTTTGTAGATGTTCAAACAATTGAGAAAAAATATTTTGAAAGATACTTTTTAAAAAGTAAGTAAGTAGCTAACATGAAATGAGAAGGCGTTTATTCGAACTAATACAGCCACTAACTTCACAATGTTATGCACAGGGGAAAAAGCAAGCAACATAAACCACATATGCTATCTGCAAGCCAGGGTAAGAGATGTATAATGATGAATTAATGTACGTAAAAAGTGCAAGGAATCAATGGGAATGTGTAGCTTTCACATATCTTAAACAGTAAATGCTTCCTAGTATACTTCATCCATCCAATAGGGTTCATTGAACTGATTGTTAGGTTTCTAACTTGTTTGAAAAGAATATGATTAAGATTTGTATAACTTTCTTCTGAAGTAAACTATTCCATGCATTCAAACGGAAATTGAACAAATAGAAGCTCTGTGAACAGCTGCAAAGCATGAAGTAAAAGTTAAGAATATGGCTGCAAAATGATAAATTTGAAGTTTTAAACATGTTTTAAAACTTAAATAACTTTATAATGCAGGTAACCCTTTGCATATCAAAACAAACATGCAACATGTTCCAATATGCTTTAAAGTGTTTCTTTCCCCATCAGACACTACATGTAAGCAGATAAAAAGCTTTTCACAATGTTACTAATTACTGGTACTAATTATTCAGTATAACATCACTGACGACTGTACCTTTCACTTCCATTTCAATCTCTTCCTCTAGTTTCTCATGAATAACTTTTTCAGGAACTAGGAAAAAAAAGAAAAATACTTTTGAGCTATAGTTGCTAAATATGCCAAACACTTTATGCAGTAAGAACATCCAATCTTCCTTGCAAATATACCGAAATTCACACATACATACACATAAACGCATGCCAAACAATTCAAACACTTGATAAATTTTGAGAATAGAATAAATAAATGCTTTCAAAGTGTTTGCAACGTACACTTTCTTGTAAGATCTGCTTTCGCTTTTGCAGGGTGGGGGAAAGTTTCTCATGTAACATGCCTTTATCATGCCTTAAATTTTTGAAGAAAACATTCAACAATCCACAGACTAATGAGATGGTTGGTCATTCTTTATCATCTCCCAGGGAATGAATGTACTGGAATGCAATGATACTAAGCATGAGGAATTGATACTTGGAAGGAACATGCAGTTGCCAACCTGTCACTCTCAGACGGGTGCTGCACTCGGCTTGTCCTGCAGGATTAACTATTCTGCACTTGTATATACCCTGGTGGTTCTGACCAACTTTCAACAATCTTAAACTGCACAATGGCCCATCGTGTTTTAAGGAACACAATGCAGACTCCTCAACTATTAGCTGATTGCACAGCCAGACCACGCAAGGTGTTGGCACACCTTTCATTATACAAAAAAGTAACACATCATCTCCTTCTTTTACAGTGGTTTCTGAAGGCAGAGTTTCAAGAAACTCTGGTGCTTCAGCATCAGTTTCTGTGATGTCTTCACATGGCACAACATCAGGATAGTAGACTCTGTTTCTTTGCTTCTCAGTTTCATATGGTCTTTGGGATGTAGATATAAACAAGCTTGAGGTTTTCTTGGAAGGTTCTTGCTTAACTTCAGATGCTTTAAACTGACAATCTTTGGCTGCTTTAAAGCTTTTAGTATCTGATTCAAGGGTAATTTTTGTTACTGCTTTGGCTTGTGCTTCTTTTGCTAGGTAAGAATAAAGTTAGGAAAAGGATTAGGTCAGATGTTTTGGAGGAATAAAAATATCCTTATACTTAGGGGTAAAAAACCCAATAATTAGTATTGAAAGAATCTCTAGAATATTAGTGCTACAGCAACACTATTAAACACGAGTGATTACACATTTAAGAGCTCTAATAATTCTAGGTACCAGTTAAGCCAAAGAGACTTTCACAGGAGCAAGACTTGGTCTGTAATGCCTTATACAGGCACATCTATACTTTTATTTAAAGCCTCAATTAGGAAGTAGCAGCAGAAGATTATGTAAAGCACTTTGCACAGCTCAAGAATGAAGAAAGAAATTTCCAAATATAAGAGCCAAATCAACAGCGTCAACAGCGTTCTCATCATTCATCTTAGTTTTCTGCTATTGAGCTGTCCAGCGTGGTGAAAATACAGTGTGGGGTTTTCACTACTGGTAGCACTACCAACATTTTAGTACTCTGACGTCAGGAAGGAGCGGAAGGAGTCTTGGCAACAACAAGTACTTGTATCTCAGGGAGAATGAAGGGTAGAAGACAATTCACCAGAGCAGTAATATTTGCACTTGAACCCATTAATCCTTTCAAGTGCATTGACCTACATTCCTTATCTGACATTCTTCCTTAAACTTCAGCTTCAGGAATTCTCAAAAATGTAAAAATTCCTACCAGCCTGTTTCACTTTATATATGCCCGCTCATCAATGAAGAATATGAGGAATAAAAAGCCTCAGACATCAGTGACTTGCTGGGAAGAGGCAAAGAAGCTACAATACCAACTTCCCACTACTGCACATGTCCATTACGAATAGAGCTGTAAATGTGGAGGAAAATCCCCAAAGAATTATTACTACAGCCTTCTCAATTAAATATTGATAACAAAGGAAATATAAGTGAGCTAAAAGCAGTGATAATCAGGTTGCAAAAGGTCAGTCATAATGTTAAAAGTCAGATAACCACCTTTGACTGTTAGTATTGCAGCAGTTGTTGTCCCTCCGTAATCATTATAAACAGTACAACTGTACAGTCCTTGATCTGTCATCTGGGCATTTAGGATTGTGAGCAGTATAACACTTCCATTCTGTGAGATCTTCAATTTTTCAGACTCTTCTATCCTTTCACCTTCCTTGGCCCAAATAAACTCAGAGAAGAATTCATCTTCTAAGGCACATATGAACTGAGCAGTATCACCACATTTCACAGTTAGGTCTCTGAGCTGCAAAAGAATCTTTGGAGAGACATCTTTCATTTCCTGAGCAGTGGTCATAGAGATCCTGGTGCTTTGAGATGTTTGGGAAAGGATAGCTGTGTGCATGGCTTCCATTTCTTCAACTGACGTAGCCTTCATAGTCAAACTTTCCGATACGCTTTCAAAAACCTGTACACCCAATTCCTGTGATGGCTTTTGCACTGGTTTAAATTCTTTTTGGTAAATTTTAATGTTCTTCTTTGTGAGAGGAGCA